TTACATGCAGCCAGAGTTGGAAATTAAAATTTGTGCACTTGCCACTGTGGCTGGTCGCTTCCAAAATCTACCAGTCATGAATTACACTACTCTTGTTTTTTTTTTTTGTTTTTTTTGGCTGGTGAAAGAAGCTAATCGAGCAGCCACTTGCAAATGTGACCAGTATTTGACTGTGGGCGGGTGCTAATCTCCAACTAACATGCTGTTTATCACATCAAAATATATAAAACTGAAACAGTTGGAGCCGCTTCTCATTTTGCTTCTTTGCATCAAAATTGAATTTTTTCAAAGTTTCCTAACAGTGACCAACTTGTTGTCCCATTAAATCATCAAACTTCTCAAGCCTGCGTGGAAAAACTGAAACGAGCACAAAAAAGATAAATGTACCAAACTCTAGCACAAGTTTCGATAATTTTTTGAACTTGGCAGAAAGTGTGGACAAATTATACGCCAGTGAAAATATGTGATTAGTTTTATTTACTTTTCCATGAAGCACGAGCTGTGTACTCAGCACATACCTTTGGATGAATGCAGGTCAATCTGAGCTGTAGTTATTTGTGTACTTCACAAACAACTTCTTGGGGCAGATAAGCAGCCATTATCCTGTGTCACAGGAATACTTGGAGGCTGGAGTTCAGCAGCCACCGCTGGCAGTAAAACATCTTTTTATCCATCAGGCTAATGCAGGTTGTAAAATGGCTCTTATACGACATCATTACGGCTGTCTTTCAGTTTACTGCATGCGTTATTCCTGTCACCTTGAAACACTGACTGCAGGAGGATTTCAACAAAGTAGATAAGTTGACATTGCATGTGTACACACTCTACAAGGACAGCAGGGTTCATGAAGTGCAGATGGAGAGGTTGAAAGTGATGTGTGTCTTTATATGATGGTCGCAGTGTAGCTGAGACATTAGCTTCTCAATGGTGCAGCGCATACGTTTTAAATGAGACCTGGAGCATTTCATTTTAACTATATGGTTTTAAACATTTAGTAAACAGCTAAATATTGAGATAAGTGTTTATTAAATACTGCATTTTAAATTGTACAAATATTTTTCACCCCACATTGCAGTATAAACTGTATTTGTGTAAGGTAGTGACACATAAACATGTAATAAAGTCATATATCTTAACCTTATTTGCAGCCTACAGCTCTCAGTAGACAGCAGTAGCACCTTATCCCTGTTAAATTACCAGCTCCATCAAACTGCTCTGATGCAACGTTTCCCCCTGAAGGCTGGAGGTGTGGGAGTCGGTGAGGGTTTGGGATTTGTCCTGTAATTCTTGCCTGTGAGAGGAAATCTGAGCTGTCTCAGCAACAATGAAGAGAACAAAAGGGTTTAAACAAGTGTGCAAACCTCAGCAGCTTTCATCTGACATCTCTCTCTCTCTCCGGGCTCAACTGTCACTCATTTTCTTTTTCTGTTTTTCTGCCTGCATTCACACTGCAGACCTGCGTGTTGCAGCTCATATCTGACCTTTTTTAGCACTTTAACAATCAGTTAGTGAAGACATTAGTCAGTTGACAGAGAATCTGTATTATCAGGCAATGGTTTTGATTATGTGATTTATATTTAAGTGATTTTTTTTTTAGCTTAAATACCAGTTTTTACATTTGTTTCAGCCTCTCAATTGTAGTGTGAGTTTTTCCTATTCTCTGACATGTTACTGACAAAATGATGAAATGATTAATTAAGAAAAGAAATCTGAAATTGATCTGTGATGAAAACAATCATTAGTTGCAGCATGAAGGCTTTTGGACACCAAGTCCTTTGTAATCTGTCATCTGATAAAAATGGTTCCACACAGAAACCTTGCACACTTAGTCCGGTGCCTTTAATTGCTCTCTTCGTTAGGGAAATTTGCAATATGAGGCAAAATGGAAAGACACATTTCCTCCCTTCTTCTCGCTTCTCTCCAATGGAGCTACCTCCCTGGCTGTCACCACTCTCTGCCTACATTTCGCATTTGGCCCCACGGCTACCCGAGTCATGAAATCATGCTACGGCCATTGCACTCTGCTGTAAGCATCATTGTTACCTTCCCTTTGTTGTGAAAGATTTCAAGAACATTGCTTCCATCTACCTCATCTCCTTGTTGACCCTCTGTCCACTTCTGCCCCGTTCTTTTCTCTTGTTGCAGATAAATGTGTCCAGATGGTTACGCCACATTTCTTTTATTGCATCTTGGATGTGAAAAAACACAGAAAATTGAACTTCCTCTAAAAAGCTTCTTGTTCCAGAAGGTTCAATGACAGATGAAAGTTTGGGAACGATGTGTACATATGATTGACACACAATGAGGTCTTACATATTTTTAAATGTGCAACAATTTTGGACAAACAATATGGACTTGTTGTGCAAAGGCCTTTAGCGTGGGCCAGAGACTTTGGGATGGCAGGATGTTAAGTGTACTTCAGGACCTCTAAACTGCAGTTGTGCATGTTGAAACACATGGGTGGCACTGAGTGCCTTTTGTTTGTGACTGAGCTTTAATTTTAGTGGCTGCGACCAGCAGCTCTATCGTACGCTCTGGTGGTTGGTTGGTCAGTCAATCCACAAAAATCCCCCACCCTTTGGTGGCCACGGTTTTTGCCCTAGGAGTCTGAAATATGGCACAGAGGTCAAGTGTGTGTGCGTGGAGGTGTGTGTTTGTGAGTGTTAGTTCCCCCTGGTTTTGTTTGTTCATCATGCTGATGTTGCTCTGACAAGCTGCAGGCCATCTAATAATGTAATAATTTGTTTTTGAGTTAAGGGTTGCAGCGGTTATATTGTGAAACCATATACCATGGTATGAAAATTAACAGTTATCATACTGTGTACATTGCTTATCTATGGTATAAAAATGCAGCCGGAAAGAGAATAAACCCTACTATATGTGCGCATCTTCACTTCTCCTTGACTGCCTGTCAGACTTGTTACACAAACTTCTGTTAAAAATGGTTTAAAGTTTCAGTTTTTAGAAAGTTTGTGTTCAACGAATCATTCCTTTAAAAGTCATTGTAACTAATGATGTTAATCATTGAGTAATACTGTATATTGTGATACTGTGAGACTGTGATATTTTCTGAGATGGTTACTGTGAAAACCTCACAGCCTGAGTTACAACCCCACATGTAGGTCTCATGGCTCACTGGATTTGATTTTAAGCCATATATTCATGTGACCCAGATCCAAATGGAGGAACTGGGACTGTGTGCAGCTTTTCGCAGTTTGCACTGATTAGAAAACTCAGGAAATTTGAGTCACATGAGGGGAAAACAATCTGACTGTGAACACTTCATGCTGCAGTGTGAAGTGAACCCAGCCTCTCTTTCCTCTCCTGCTACTCCGCCCTGCTGCAGGACGACAAGTTCATCTGATAAGGAAACAGCAGAATTGCTGAAATATTTATGAGGTCCTTTGTATCCAGTGCACATTATATCCACGACATCACAGCAATGTGTTATCGAGGCTTGTTACAAGCTGTACGCTCAATGAAGACTCCAGCATGCACAATCATGTTATTGTCACTGCAATCACCAGATCAGAGCAATAAAACAGGCAGGAGTGTGATAGATGAGCTTTGATGCAGAGACTCAGCAACAGATATATGTATGTGTTGCATAATGGCAAAGCCAATGCAGATTAGATTTGATCTAATCGGCCAATTCAGGTTTTTTTGCCAATTCCAGTAATTCGATTGTGTGTTCATAGTAAAACACTGACTTTTAAATTGCGTTTATGTTTTCTCCAAAGCTGCACCAGGTTACAGGACATCCTCTCACTATCACTTAAACTAAAATGTGCTCCAGGTCGCTGGACAGAGCTTTTGTGCAGATAAAATCCATCTGAAATGAAGTGCAGTATATCCAACTTTATCTAATGTTTTACTTTCCTAAAAGAAAACAGGTGCAACAGATTTATATTCAAATGAATTATTCACATATCAGACAAGAATCAGAGAAAATATTATTCTGGACTGTGTATTAATGCCTATTACATGGAGTCAGCTGTGTATTATCTATCTAAAACCATGTATTTATTGTCTATTTATTTATACAGAACTATTTATGATGGTGTGTGTCCAGTAGGTTATATATTAATTACTGCTGTTGCAGTGAGCAGCGTTTTCTCACCTCCTGCTCACCTGAAACTGTGTGCATGGTGCAAGAATTAAGGACAGATCCCACGATGATGAGAAAAGATGATGGTCTGAATAAGTTGCCAGATTTGTCCCTTGTCACTTTTTAGAAATAAAGTCACTAAGTGAGGCTGAAAAGTCATGAACGAGGGGGTGACAAATCGTCGCTATTTAGCAATCTGGGAATGAGAAGGGGATGGAGCAGCTATAACATTAATGAATTACTGTCTGTGCCATTGTGTGCTTGATGTAAAACATCGTGCAAGGCAGGCATGTTAATTTGATCAGCACTGGATTGACTCTATCTAAGACTGACTGGCCTGTCACTGGTCATTGTCCACCAAGCTAAATGTCAGCCGATTCGGGTCATCAGTCAATCAATCGGTGCATCTCTAATAATAAAAACATTTTGCACTCAATGCCTAAAGGTTCTCTGCGGGGTTATCGCATTGTGTCTATACTAGAGGTCTAACAAACATGTTTCCTTCCTGATAAAAGCTGCAGTCAGTGTTTCAAGTTTTTTCTCGGGCTTGAACTTGTGTTGTTTCATCATTGCGTTTTTGGTATTAAGTTAAAAACATCAAAAAAATGCTGGTTGCAGCTTTACATAAATGAACATTTACTATTATCATTGTAATTAAACACTTTAGGGTAATTTCACTGATGACCAACCAAGAGCAATTTTACAACACTACTCAGGGCTCTGTGATTAAATAACTAACATTTTATGGAGTTATTAATTAATCAAAAAGGATGTTCATTAGAAGTAATTTTACATTTTGTCTGTAATGCTGCAAATTATAAGACTGCATGATTAGTTTAATCTCCCAGAGGTGTGTAGTTGTGTTGATCAGCTTCTCCTGTCACCTCCACAGTACCCGTTCACACTGGGCTTCAGCTTGGCTCTCTGCTGGTGTCTGCTGGTCTGTGTCAGCCGAATCTACATGGGAATGCACTCAGTCCTGGTATGTCCCCACACACACACACACACACACACACACGCAGATGGTGTCGGCCTTGCCACCTGCAGTGCCAGTTTGTTGTCATCCTGTCCGTTTGAACACGATAGCTGACTTGTGGGAAACAGTATCTGACCAGCAGTCACTTCAGCTCCAGGACCGAGCTGGCGTCTGGCTCTGGTGTCAGCAACACAATCACCTGTGTAACGGTAGAGGTGCAACGCACAGAACAACCACACATGTTTACAACACAGATCTGAAAAAAAGGGACATATGTAGGAAAATAATTTGGTAATTGACCAGGTTTGTGTGACAGATGCACACAGAAAGGTTTGGAAGACTTTACCCTCATAATCGACACACAGCTGTGTATTTTCTGTGGCCTCAGATCAGTGTTGGGCTTGTTACTCTAAAAATCTAATATATTACCTTTTACTTATTACTCCCTGGCAATAGTAATTTGTTACACTATTCGTGATATTACTTTTCCATTACACCTCTTAAAATTGGTTATTGCATATCTCCCCAAAATTCAATTCAATGTCAATGGTAGGCTTAGTGTAGCTAAGGCAAGATTAGTCTGAGTGGGTGGAAATTCGCTGCAAAGATCAGCCTCTCATTGGGTGGAACGAGCCACCCGCTGAAGTCCCGCCCTACCACCTCCGGTTGCAGTTTTCAACACGTCCTTTACTAACTTTTGCGGTGTTTGATCTTGCGGGGATGTAGCCATTTTTCTGCCATGGTTCGCGTCCTGTAGGCGATATTTTTGTGGGCGTGTTACACCAAAACCTGTTTCCCCCCGGCAATATTTTTGCAAGCGCACTGTTGCTGTGGCACCGCCAAGAACAATTGTGATTGGTTGAAAGAAATACAAGCAGCCGGGGCGTTTTTTTCTCCAATCTTAAAGTGAGAGTCGGCCCAGCCAGACCTTTCTTTTCTTGAGAAAGGTCTGGTGAGCGAGACTAATGCAAGATAGATTACAAATGTTTCTGTCTTCTGTTGCCCATTACCGGTATCTTCCTGAAGCTCTGTCTCAAAGACAGAGAGTCACTCGTGGAGCAACATTTCATCCATCACATATCCAGCCACAAGTTTCATTAGTTCTTTGTAGCTGCAACTGTCCACAATTTAAATCCAGTTTTGGTTGTTTAGCCAGTGTAGGACTACAGCCAACCTTCGTGGCTGAGGACGGCTCACCTTTGGTGGGGTGTGTTTCCTGGAGCTTCACATTATTGTGTTAGCCATAGTAGGCGTCCAGACCGGAGGTTTGAGTTTGTGTGATTTGCAGTGGAAAGAGTTTTAGTACAACTAGCTGCAGCAATAGTGTTCTTGTCATCTTTCCTTCCAAAATCAAAATAATAAAATAGTAATAGCTTTCTGCTTTGTGATGTGCATACACAGTGTGACACATTCTGAAACCCACTGATGTGATTGCTGTATTTCAAGTCAGTAGTGATGTGATTACAAAAGTAAAGCTATAATGAGTTGTTTGCAGCAAATGGTTGCAAGCCGGAGTCGAACCTGCGACCGCTGCAGCGAGGCATCGCCTCTGTACATGGGGCGCCGGCACTATCCACTACGCTACCGACGCCCCAGAGTCACATTTTCAGATCAGCACAGCTCTGCCTGCCAGTGCCCTCCTCCATTTTTATTGATTATCTTAGTTGACTGATTGGTCAATAGTTCATGCAACATGTCAAGCTGATAGTGAAGTAGCACTCTGTTCCAGTCTTAGTGCATGTTGTGGTAGTGGAGCATTGATATTCCTCTTTGATCTGTGGATCAGTTCAGGTGTCACAATGATCTCAGCCCAAGGTAGGAGCTTTTTCACAGCTTTCAGTCAGTAACTGAGCTTCATCAGCTGATGAATGTGGAAACAAACATCACACGTGCATCATTCCGCACAGTGAAGCTCAAACATCCAAGCGAAGCAACAAGAAGCAAATAATTTGGAGTGGAGAGCAACTGTCTGTCTTTGTTGTGTTATTTGTGTGGTGTGACCAGCAGGCAGGGTGTGAAACAGGAAACCATTCCACCCGATGATTATAAGCAGGAGGTGGAGTCTGAACTTAAGCCTCCAAACAATAGTTTTTCCATGTGGATAAACCACCTCCAGTTTACCAACATCTGCCAGGTGTCTGCTACTCATTTACACCCGGCAGGGGTTGTTATTACCGGAGGAATGTGACCGAGACAATGTCTGTGCACCACCGTGTTTCTGTACAGTGTGTCAGTTGTTCCCTCAAATTACTTTATGTTTAATTTTAAGTGCATTTAAATTTTCACACAGAACAAAGTTGATTTAGGCTGAAATTTTGATGATGAAGGAACCAATTGTAGTTTAATTAGTTTAATTTTGTTTCTTGGACCTCTATCTTGTCTTTCTTTTGGGTTTTGAGCCGAGCCTCTTCAGCTTCTACCTTCTACCCCCACAGCTCATCTGAGCATTGTGTCCTCAGCATGCTCGGGCCTGTGTCTCATTCTCCGTGCAGATTTAAGTAGTGAAGACAATAAATGTCAGCTTCTCTTAGCTCTTACTGAGGAATATTCATGCCTGCAAAAACTTGCCCCTTCATCCTTCATCTACTGCTCTGACGTCAACAGACTTCTGCCGACAGCAGAGTTTTGGTTTGATAAGATTGCTGCCGTACAACACAGGTATAATCATGAAAAACATAATGTGACATCAATGAATGGTTGTGTTTACTCCTGGGGCAGACGCATAAACAATGTGTACGCACAAAAACCATGCGTGCACCTTTTGCCATTCATAATCTGGCATTTATAAAAGAAAAATGTGTGCACTTCACACATTCTTCAGACCATGCATACACACAGTTTCGGCTGAGATAGCTGGGGTGATATGATAAAGAGCGGATTAAGTATTAGTTGAGAGACAGAAATAAAATGTTTTTAGGTTGTTTGGCAACTTCAGGGATTCGATTATTTCTTTTTGCAGGTTACGTTCTGAAAAATGTGAATCAAAGACACATTTATAAAGTTGATCTTAAACTATTTATGAGTGATACATTTCAGCATTAATTTTACTTACATTTGTCTCCCTGTTAATTGTCATTTAGTTATATCCCGTGAAGCACTTTGTAAAGCCAGTTTCCACATGAGCACTGTGAATGAATCACTGATCATCCTTCTGACGTTTGATAATGATGATTGAGGTTTTGCCGCAATGATGGTTTGCTGGAATGTGATGAATTAGTTAATTAGACAAACATCCACAGCCATGTGTAATGACAGCTGCTCTGGCACGGTTGGAGAACCTCACCGATGTAACACAGTCGCTAAAATTGCTCTATCGTTACTGTTTTTCTCACTGACAGGTCTAATGAGTGGTAGAGGGGCACAGGTGTCTATATACAATCATATGTTTAAGGGCGTATCTATTTATGGCGAACTGTGGGTGTGGAAATGAGGCTTGTGCCCGTGCACCCAGCGCCATAATGATCAAGATTTATAAAGCAGAATCAGGCTTTTGAACAGCTTTATAAATCTGATGAAAAGAATGTGTGTGCATATTTCTGCCTTTGTGCGTACACACAGTTATAGTCAGGAATCAACACAGGGTTGTGTGTATCTGGCCCCAGGTATTCTACTGTATTAGAAACCTTCCCACAGTCTGAGTTGCAACCTACACATGAGATATGAGAGACTCTGAAGAGGCTACTCTGACATGGGGTCACCAATTTAAGTGAAAGCAGTAGATAAAGCAAAAATTTATCTGTAGAAATTTTGAGTGTGCTCACATCAGTGCATTTTAAACAGCCTATATGTATAAAGGCCTTTGTCTTAGTAACGTGCACTTGTAATGTTTTAGTGGCTTTAGTGAGATTTAAACCCTCTGGACAGCATCTGCAGAGCACAAACAGAGCACTACATCCAGGAAATTATTTTTATGAACTTATAAACTGCTACACTGAAACAAGAACATTAATGAACCAGCTGTTGTGAATGAAAGTAAAACTGCTTCCCTGCAAGTCTCCCTCTGCCCTCACACTAAGAAGTCCTTGTATTTGAGTGGGAAAGTTCATTCTTTGCCACTTTGATAGTAGCTCAACAAAATAATCTTTACTCAAGGTCCTTTTTCCTTAGCTTGTCCAGAAGCTTTCAGCTGCACCTCACAGTCCTGACCAGATGCAGTTGGACCTTGAGTTAGAAATAATAATAATTTAAGATACTCAACGTCACCTTGCAGGCAAAGATAGAGAAAATAACAACACATTCATGAAGTCAACGAGATAAGGAATAAAGTAATATGAAAATAAAAAATAAAAATAATAACTTGACATAAAAAAAGTTTAAAGAGGGGGGTAGAGTGGCTGAAGGCTCTAGACCCCATGGTGTTCAGGCAGGCTGGTGGGACAGTGCAGTGGATGGAGGAGGAAGACCTGAGAGTACGGATGGGAGTGTGGATGTGCAAGAGTTTGGGGAGGTACAGAGGAGCTAGGTTGTGGGTGGCCTTAAAGGTGAGGAGTAAGACCGGGGTGGGTGATATAACATACTATGTATATGGGCCTGATTTTTATGTCAGTAAATAGTGTCTGTATTGATTTTCCAGGAAAAGTGCTGAATCTTAGTACACAGGATGTAATAGTACATAAAAGATTAGATAAGACTTTATTTATTGTGATGGAAGTTGTTATATAGCAATTGCAATACAAAGTGGGAAAGAGTTCAAATATATATATAGACAGCAAATAAAACAAAATATTAACAATTAAGATTATCAGTAAGGTGCAAAGACCAAATATACACAGTACTGGAAATGTAAACAGGTTAACAGTGTCATAAATAGGACTGAATTACAGAAGGTGCAATTTAAAATTTAAACGTGCCGTATTGCCCTCTCCTACTGGTTACTTAATATCTACAGTGGTGATTAGGGCTGTCCCCTAATAGTTGACCAAACTTTAATCAACCACAAAGGCCATTAGTCAGCAAGATTTCATTGGTCCCCTAGTCACAGAAAAAACAAACGTGAAACTCCATCA